GGCACTTTTATGCAAATCGTGTATTCAGTTTGAGAAGCCTGGAAGAAATTGACAAAATGTGTAATATTTCCTCAACACACTCCTGCCTCTCTGAAAAGCTTACCTCTGAGTGGGCACACAGTCATGTCAAAAACTAAATAGATCCTAAGTATGCACTTAATATTCCTCAAAGATCAAGTGTTTGTTTGTGATACTGTTTATCAAATAGCCTTTTTAATGACTTGCTATCTGTGACTTGTAGAATAGATTTTAGGATTTTATTGCTTATTTTAAAGCCTTAAACTGACTTATTCTTGCCTGCATCTGCAGCCTCCTACAATCCCATACCAGTGGCCTACTAATGGGTATTCATTAAGAACTTGTTAGCAAAGGTAACCTGCTATTGCTTCCTGCTCCGACAGCTGCGGAAGGTCCTGCCTCTGAGAGGCCTCTGATTAATCCCTTCTTTACACTAAACTTCATGGAAAAAGCTATTTTCTCATGGAGTATATTTTCTCTAAATTATTTCAAATGGCTGTCATTTCACTCACAATTCACAGGCATGGATGACATAGCTCTAATTATAAAGTGAAATGCTGTAATTTTAAATGAATTTAATTTGACTGTGAGCTTTTGAATATAAAACCAAGGCTCTATCCCTTTTCCTAGTAACTAATCCAATTAGGTTCACACAGAGGCTGGAGCCGGTAAATGTGGCAACACCCTGAACACGTTGTCCTATTTACACCTACAGCTCATTTAGGATCTGCAGTTGACCTGCTGTAAGTATGCCAACATATATGTCTTTGGACTGTGGAAGAAAGCCATCCAAAAAGCAAGAGAAGCGCAAGGAGAACAGCCAGTTTAAACCCCAAAATGTCTTGCTATGAGATTTCAGTGCTAACCACTGCGCCATCATGCCGCCTCCATGATAGTGCAGTGAATCATTTTTGCTTCAGAGACTTTTTCCAGAGAAGTCCAAATAGAAATATAATGTGGAAATAAAGCATCTGGCACTTGGTGTCTGTGTAATCAAATGGTGATTGTTGGGTTATGGATGCGAAAAAGTGTTGATAAAAGTGTGACCTGTCAGCACATCACCGATATGTACCAAGTTTAAAAATCTCATTGCAATCATGTGGCTTTTTTAAAATCATATGCTTTATGACAGCGGTGAGATTCACAGACACTCACACCTACACTCTGAACTATTTTTTTCTAAAATAGATGAGTCGACAACTGGATCACCTTCTGTTCTCTTTCATTACAGTGGTGGGTAGAGCTTGTGATATTTACTTACTGTAATACAAGGGCGTAGATTTGGCATGGACGGAAGGGACATGTCCCCACCAATATCCAGCGATTATTGAATT